TGCAAGATCAAGACCTTCATGATCAGTATAACCCTGGGCATCAGGCTGATATGGCATCCCTGATTTACAAGGGTAATCCTATTAGCATCAAAGGGACAATTCACATGAGTAAGGACTGTGAGAATGGGCCCCTCAGGAGCAACTACCACCACAGTTATGTATCTAACCTCACTTAGATCACAGCAGTTTTCAAATGCTGTACAGTCATTTTATGCTGCTACTGAACTTCAAGAAGAAAATAGACCTTGAGCATAAATTCACTTGCACTTTACGGACTATGGCCTGGGTTTTGTACCCTGCTTAGAATCCTCTTATCCCAACTCCTAAGTGGTTAACAGTCTGCAAGAAATATTGGCTCCTCTTCTTGTTTTTTCTATTTTTCTTTCCCTTCATTTTATTTCCCTTTTCTTTTCTTTTTTTCTCCTCTTTTCTCTTCTTTCTTTTTATTTTCTTTTTTCTTTCCTCCCTTCCCTTCCCTTTTCCCCCTTCCGCCTTTTGCCTTTTCCCCTTCCCCCTTTTCTTTCCCCTTCCCTTTTCCTTTTTCTCTTTTCTTTTATTTTGATTTTCCTTTATTTTAATACTTTTAACCTTTAATTTTCCCTTATTTTCTTTAATTTTTCCTGTTTTTTATCCTTTTCATTCCTTCCCCTTCTTTGTGTCTTCCACCCCCCCATTTTTCTTTTTCTTTCCTCCTTGCCTTCTCTTTTCCTTCCCTTCCTGTTCTCCCCTCTTCCTCATCTCTTCCTTCTGTACCTTTCTTAGAATTAGGGGAATGATGGTAGGAAAAAAATTATAAAGGCATAGGCCTCAAAATTCAAAGATTGGGAACAGATAAGCTTTTGAAAAGCATTTTTTAAGGTCACATGAATCAACCTAAACTTTCAGAATCTGTAAAACAGGAATGTGAAATCCGAAGGAAATGGTGATTTTTGTAGATTTTTTTTTTCCTGCATTTCTGCTTTATAGCCTACCTGCAACTAGTGGAAATGGCCTTTCTCCTTCCTTTCTGGTATTTCCAGGTCTAGTTGTAAGAGCTGCATACAAACCAACTACCAGCTTTTCTTCTCAGGTATAATAATGTGCATTTAGTTTAACTCTGTTAATTTACTAGGTTTAGCTTCTTTGATAAACTTGCTTTGGATAAGAATCAGATTGTCAAAAAAAAATTGAAATATAAAATAATTATAGTTTTATTGCAATACCACCAATTACAGTATGTGATTGTGATACATGTTAGATGATGTGCAAAAACATATGAGGATATAATTCCTAGCTTGAATTAACAGCTGCAGAAATTTTCCTTCCTTCCTTCCTTCCTTCCTTCCTTCCTTCCTTCCTTCCTTCCTTCCTTCCTTCCTTCCTTCCTTCCTGCCTTCCTTCCTGCCTTCCTGCCTTCCTGCCTCCCTGCCTTCCTGCCTTCCTGCCTTCCTGCCTCCCTGCCTTCCTGCCTTCCTGCCTTCCTGCCTTCCTTTCCATTCCATTCCATTCCATTCCATTCCATTCCATTCCATTCCATTCCATTCCATTCCATTCCATTCCATTCCATTCCATTCCATTCCATTCCATTCCATTCCATTCCATTCCATTCCATTCCATTCCATTCCATTCCATTGGAATGGGTGCTGTTTGCTATGCCCTTAGCACAACAACAAACGTTGAACTCAATTTCTACCATAGCTTAAACACAGTTCTGGTACTACAGTCCTTGCTCAGATGAGTTTTGCTCTCAAGAGTAACAAAGGTCTGCACGCACAGGCATTTAACATCACATGAAGCACAGAAGTAACACCAGATGAATGCTGAATATATGTCCTTATATCTAGTTTTTTAATAATGATGCAGCTTAAAAAAATGAACTTTTTCACTTTGTCCACACCTTCAGGGTTATTTCTGAAACCCTGACTGCGCACCTAAGTACATGTATCTCTATATCCTGCAGTCACTGCTTCTCATGAGCACCTTAGCCAACACGCACAGCTCCGGTTACAAGAAGTGCGGTGGGAAAAAGCCTCATTTTTCTCTGCAGAAGCAGTGGGAAGCTCAGACACCAGGTTTCCTCCTTTCATCACATCCTGGTGCATCAGCACAAGTCTGTAGTCAGCCCTTAAGATTCTTTATTTTGTATTATGCTTTGCAAAGCAGCACAAGGTGTATTGCCTGGCACGGCGCTGCCGGCCTGGCAATGCCAGCCTTTGTGCACCTTGTGCCTTTTGGTAAAAGTCCACGTCCTTCAAAACACTGTAGAGGCCCAAAGGAGAGAGACTTTAGGTGCTTTGCACAGTTTTTCAGGTAAGATCTGAGCCTGCTTTAGGAGTCTGTGCCACCGCTGGTTTTCAGACTGTTGGTTTTTGTTTGTTTGTTTGTTTGTTGTTCGCATTTGCTGATTTTTCCTCTCTCCCTCCCCGGTGCCGGTGGCCGGGCCCTGAGCCCGACCCCTGCCTTCCCCGGGGGTCCAAGGCCGAGGAAGCCGCGGCCCCGCACGGGGCAGCTCCCCCGCAGCTCCCGGGGGCGGCGGCCGCCAGGGCCCGGGGCGAGCGCAGCG